AATACGATTCCCGGAAGGGTAAAAGAAAATTTTTGAAATTTCGCCCAGCCGTCTAGCATAGTTTGGCCATCCATATGATGGATTTCCCCTTCCTTGAAAAGGAGGCGCCTGACCTAATTTTCCTTTTAGAAACAAAAGTTCAAACTCATAAAATGACGATTCTACAAAAAAAGAATAAGCTACCCTTACTCATGCTTCGTTGAAGCCATAGGTTTATCTGGGGGTTAGCCATTTTCTGGAAGAAAAACATAGAAGTTGAGATCCTGAAAACTTCTCCTAGGTTCATAATTGTTAATGTCAAATCTTTCCCTGCCAATGTCCCTTGAACTCTTTGCTGTTTATATGGAGAGCCAAATAAGCAATTAGAAAATGAATTTTGGCAATCATTTAAAGAAATCTTCAATCTCTCAGTCAATTCAACCCCTCTCACCATAGTTGGAGACTTCAATCTGGATCTTAACAATGACTGTAATAGTGAGGATGAATCCAATTATACCCCTACAAACTCTAGATTGGGCAGGCAATTTAGAAGCTTTATAGACTTCTTCCAACTTCAAGAAGTCAGCATTGCTGGGGGGCCAAGACATGGTTAAATGGGCAATCGAGACTAGGTAAAAAGGAGAAAAAATTGGACCATTTGTTTGTCGTAGTGGACTACATTAACCTTTTTAGCATTCTCAAAGGTCAAGCCTGCCCCAAATGGGTCTCAGGCTACAAGCTAATCCAAGTCTTTCTAAACCCAACTGAGATTCGAAAGCCAAAACCTTTCAAATTCTTCTAGGGCTAGCTTTTAGAATCTGACAGTGCCAACATCATTCAGGAAGAGTGGCCTTAGACAACATCAGGGTTTGCTAGTTTTAGGATTTCTAGGAAATTGAGTCGAATCAAGAGAAAATTAAAATTTGGAACAAACTTTGTTATGATCAACAAAAAAGTGGAGGAATTAAATAAGAAACTCCTAGAGCTTGAGTTAGGAGATGCTAGTGAAAGCCAGACCCAAAAGATAAAAGAGCTAGTCATGATGAGAGAGAAACTTCTTAATCAGCAAGAATCATTTTGGAGACAGAAATCTAGACAATTATGGCTAAGGAGAGTGATAGGAATACAAGCTATTTTCATAGAGTTGTAAATTTAGAAGGCAAAGAAACCAAATTGATTGGATCAAAGATAAGGAGGACAATTGTGTTTTAGATCAAGAAGGAATAGCTAAAATCTTTGTTGACTACTTTGAGGATCAATTCCAAAGTATAAGACAAAGTAGCTTCTCATGTCTAGATGGTTTCTTTGATATGCTGATTAAGGAGGTAGTCTTTTCTCTAGGGCAGTCTAAAATCTATTGATCCTAATGGCTTCCCCGCTCTAGTGTACCAAAATTTCTGGGCTCTAATGGGAAAGGAAATACATGAATTTGTGAGAGATTTTTTCCTAAACAAATTTTTTTTGAATAATATAAACCATACCTTCATTTCCCTCATCCCAAAAACCAAATTCCCTTCCAGAGTCGATCACTATAGGTCAATCAACCTTTGCAATGTCCTGTACAAAATAATCTCAAAGCTCCTAGCAAACAGGATGAAACCCTTGCTTGAGAAATGAAACTCTCATTTCCAATCTGCTTTTGTGAAAGAGCGATTAATTCAAGATAATATCATCCCAGCCCAGGAAATTTTCCATAATCTAAAAGCAAGGAAAACAAAGAAAAGCTACATGGCCTTAAAACTTGATATGTCAAAGGCTTTTGACTCTCTAGAGTGGGACTACATTTGGTGGGCCCTTTCATCTCTTGGTTCTCTCGAAAGAATGGTGTGAGATGATTAAGACTTGTGTCACCTCTGTGCAATTCTATGTCCTCATAAGTGGGTCTTTAGAGGGATTTTTTGCTCCCCCTAGAGGAATTAGGCAAGGTGATCCTTTATCACCTTACCTGTTTGTAATTGCTATGGAAGGCCTCTCTAGGCCGATTCTCAAAGCTAATGCTGAAGGCAAACTCCTGGGAATCAAGGTGGGGAAAGATGTCCCTTCCATAAGCCATCTCATGTTTGTTGATGATGTTCTTCTACTGTATAGGGATAATAGGGAGGAAGCAGCAAACTTTAAGGATCTGCTAAATCAATTCCAGGATCTTTCTGGTCTTGCCATAAATTGGAAAAAATCTGGAATCTTTTTCAGCAAAAACACTCCTAGCAAAGGGGCAAAAATTATCAAAAGACAACTGCATATGGCCTCTCTTGACCCATCATGTAAATACCTTGGTATGACCATCCTCTGGAATAGAAGAAGCAGCCAAACCTTTGATTTCTTGGTGGATAGATTTAAGGCTCGCCTAAGCAAATGGAAAGCAAATTCCCTCTCTTATGCTGGAAAACAAACCTTAATCCACTCAATGCTCCACTCAACTCCTATCTATAGCATGAGTGTCTCTAAATGTCCCCAGAAAATGATAAACTCTTTGGAGAAAAGTATGAGACAATTTTGGTGGAATGAGAAAGGAGATAAAAAACATCTCAAATGGGCTGCTTGGGATAAGCTGTGTGCCCCAAAACTAGGGGAGGATTGGGATTAGGAAGTCTGTCTTTTAGGAATATAGCTCTCTTGACCAAGTTTGCTTGGTGCTTTCTAACTGAACTTGATTCCCCTGTGGGTGAGAGTTTTAAAAGGAAAGTGTCTTCATGGTGAAAATTCTTTACCTAGAAAAACCCCTGCCTCGTCCTCTAAAGGTTGGAAAATCCTTACGGAAGCCATGCAAAATCTTTGTCTGGATTTGGGAGTAAAAATTTGCAACTCCAATCTTGTAGCCTGGGACTTCAAATGGATCTTAAATAATAGGAGCTTCTCAGCTCCTTATGGCCCAAGACAGAAAGAAAATAACCTACTTATGAATTATGATCAAGGAGCTCATCAGCTCATTGTGAGTGACTCTTCTAATTGGAATAGAGAAGCTGTTCAATACCATTTCCCGTACATTTTTGACCTCATCTATAATACTCCCATCACCAGCAATCATCAAGATACTTTCATCTGGACTAAGGCATAAAATGGGCAATTTACAACCAAAAAAATTTGATGATGATGCATGGAATTCCAAGAATAACATCTGCCCTATCATCAGCTCCAAATGGGTTAAATCTGTTTAGAAACTAAAAATTCCCCAAAATTCAAGCTTTTTCTTTGGCTTTTGTTAAGAATTTTTTTTCCTGTGTAAATCTGACCTTATTACCAGAGGAATAACTGATCACTCAGAATGCCCCATGTGTCAACGCCCCTTAGAAAATACTATGCATCTTTTTCTCCACTGTCCGTTTGCAAGAGCCATTCTCTTCGCAAGTCCTTGGTCAATTTCGTTCCCTCCAAATTTACTTTCCTTCATTGAAGCCTTAAATTTTCTGATCAACAAATACTCTGATAGGCTTCTAGTGGAACAAATCCTTTCCTAGATAGTGATAGCTTGGTACTTCATATGGGGGGTGGGGAAGGGGCAGAAATAGCGTTTTGTTCAACAATGGTGAGAAAAGTATATCTTGGAGTTTAAATCAAATTCAAATAAGCCTATGACTTGCTCAATCCTCTTTTGATCCTAAGAAAACTGAAAGTCCCATTCTTAATAGGGAAAATTCCTGATCAGTATCTTGTACTTTGGCTCGAGTGGCAATTTGGTCCCCGAATTTTAAAATGCGACAATTCAGTACTCAAACTTTTAAAATGTGACAATCCAATATCCGGACTTTCAAAATATGACAATCCAGTACCCACTATTAATAAGCCCGTTAATCAGCTATTAAGTGACATTTGAAAAGTCAAAAATACCCTTCGAATGCCATCTAATTTTCTTTATCACCATCCAAACATTGACAAAAAATTGAGCAGTCCCAAATCCTAGCATCTTCTATTCAAAAAAGTTTGATAATTGTTTAGAGGAATCTAGAATTTGGGACTGTTTATTTTATTGGCAATGTTGGATGGTTGATAAAGAGAATTAGGTGGCATTCTTAGGGCATTTTTGACTTTTCCAATGTCATTTAACGGTTGATTAATGAACTGGTTAACGACAGGTAATAGATTGTTATATTTTGAAAATTCAAGTACTGAATTATTACATTTTAAAGTTCAAGGACCAAAATGTCACTCGAGCCAAAATACATGGTACTGATCAGGAATTTTCCCTTCTCAGTATGATAGTTAACATCCCTACTAGGGAATCTATAAATAATGAAAACAATTCTATAAAAATCATTTGTGATATAGGGGGCTTTCTTGACAATGATATAGGAACCTATGCCATTATTCTTTTTATACAAGGATTTTAAATCTTTATGTGCTATGGGTAACAAAAATGTGTGGCGGTTCTTCAAAGTTTATGGCTGGACAGACCTCACCATTTTCACGGTTGCTAAAGCCCTTGCAGATGCAATTGCAGGATAGAAGAATTTTTTGACTGGGATATACAACATCATCTAGACAAAACTCTGAACTTATTAAACGATTTTGGATCTGTGAATAATTTGTTTAGAACTAGAGATCTTACCCTATCTGCTCGCTTAAACTGCCTAAGTGGCAAAATCTTCGGATTTCTTTGTGCTGTTGGGAATTGGGATAATATCCCAGCCTGTTGGACCTAAGCTATTGTATTCTACTATTCTCTTTAATTTTAGCTTAACTTTTACCCATAAAAGAAATAATTTTCTTTTTTTACCAATGAAAATTCGAAATCAAGATTACAAAATTAGTCCTCCCCTGAAATTTCCAAAGTTAAAAATACCCCAAAAAAATTGCCTTACCCAAGATCTCGTATCAAACATCAAAACATTTTAAATTATTTGGATGATGAGCATCCAAAGCCTATCCTACCTTGTTTCTAAAGCGGTGAAAAGCAAGAGTTGCATACATTCGCTGCACGTATTTTCGTACGTCCACCTTGTCTCTGGGTGAAGAAGGAGTTGCATGGTATCGAATATCGATGTTACAACTTACAACTTTACAAGCAGCCTTCCGGAAGAGGTAAAGACTAAAGAAGAAGCAAAAGAGAAAGAGAGATCGAGAGTGAGGAGAGCATCAGAGTAAAGGCATATTTGAGTCTCCACTCTCCAGTCTCTTTCTCTCTTTCCTTCTCTTTCCGCCCTCCGTTTCCCCTCCTAATCGACGGTGAAATTAATTACTTAATTGGAAGTTAGAAATCGGAAGTTAAAAGCGACGATAGAAAGACATGGCTCCGGCTAAAAAGGGTAAAGCAAAAAGCAAAGAAGATGCCTCTCCTCAGCCCGCCGCTGCAAAGACGAACTTCCCCGCCTGTCTCCGTCTTGTGCCACCCTCTTCGGTTGCAATCACAATCCATGCCAAACCAGGTTCCAAGGTCGCCACGATCACAGGTTTGCCCACTTCTCTTTCATTCGTTTTTACTTGTGTATTCTCTTCTGTTCTGGTAAAATTAAAAAAAGATTTCTTAATTTTATGTGTTTTGATTTTCAAACAATTGAAACCAGATTTCAATGATGAAGCACTTGGCGTGCAAATAGATGCTCCCCCGAAGGACGGAGAAGCAAACGCAGCGCTGCTAGAGTACATTAGTTCTGTGAGTCCTTCATTCTCAGGGATTTTATTTGCGTGTTCTTCTTTGACATATTTTGGTGAATAAATGTTTTCATGTTTTCTTGTGATCTGGGAGAAAGATTAGTTTGATAAGAAACAGTTTTGATTTGCGTGGAAACTCAAAATAATTTATCAACAGGGAAGCATACCCAATAGGGAATCAGAGATTTTATGGTAGATTTCATTGCTCACCGGCTAAGCATTAAGCAATTGACAATTTCATAAAATTTACTTAAACTTTGACCTGAGCTATTATGATCTTGGCTCATTCATACTTGACCTCTGGATGTTAAAAACAAACAGATATTAAAAAAATGGTAACAACTCTGGAGAAGCAGAAAGAGTGAATGCAAACTAGTTGACATCTTTGATGCATTTTACCATGCATTGTTTTGCAGGCAAAAAAATATTGAACCTTGCAATTGATTGTTCTTCCTTGAACCAGGAAAAAGTTGGGATTTTGTTTGTTGGAAACGGAATGGATTTGCTTCTTGTTCTGTTACAATATATATTTGTTATGCAAAAAAAGTTATGGGACCAGTAGCAACAACGATAATATTTCATTATACAAATATGAAAAAACAAATAATGGTGCAAAATTCATGCTTATTCCCTTTGATGAGTGTTCATACATATTGAAGATTAATTAGTTTTATGATATTTTTCTGAGTAGATGTTTTATGTTAGTTGTTAGATAGAGGTGGGGACCACAGTAGTTATGTGAGTCCAAATTTTATTATGTTTTTGAGTGTTATATATGCTGTTTTATGTTTTGCTGCCCTATAAGGGCATAGTTGTCTTTGTACTGTTTTATTATTTTAGTAAAAATAATAAGTGAAGGGGGCGGCCATATCATTGCTCTCTTTTCTTTCCATTTTTTCTTCTTCTCCTTCTCTTTTCCTTCTCTCTTCAAGAAACTACTTTTCTTTTATATTTTTTTAATTTAGCAGATTTCTACTTGGTATCAGAGCATCAACTAGGGTTTCTTGAAGCATTCTTATGCAGCCCTAGATCAGCCGACTGCATGAAATAGTAAAGGGTTGATCAATCTGCTATAGATTGCCCAGTTCTTGGAGTTTTGGGGGGGATCTAGGCATCAGGAAGGTGATCTACTGTTTGGCATCAAAATCAGGAAGAACTAGAGTACGGGGAAGAGTCCTAGAAAAGTTGGACTCCTTGTTTTTTATTTGATCTTGGGTGCTCAGGTATTGTTAGTTTTCTTTTGATTTTCTGAAGATGATGGTTTGGTTTTTGGAATTTTCTAGGCCTCCCGGAGTGATCAATTCATTTTTCTCTCTGTTGGGAGGCGTGGGGAGGAGAGATTTCCCTCCAGCTAGGGTTTTCTTCTTTCGGAAGGGTTGGTTTCTGTGTGTGTGATATTAAATTATTTTTTGAAGGTCTCTAATCTATTTTTTTTATTGTTGAATTGTTTGAAGTAAGATGGAGAGTTGGAATACCGAGATGAAATCTACCGGTACTGTAGGACTGGGTGTTGAAGGTAATAGTGATATTTTTGGGTTTGGGATCATTACTATAGTAAAACTTGATGGTATAAATTATTTGGAGTGAGCATAATCAGCTAAGATGGCTATTGGTGCCTGTAGAAAATTAGGGTATCTCACTGGGGAGGAGAAGAAACTTGATACATACTCTTCCCGATGGGTGCAGAAGAATTACATCGTAATGTCCTGGCTATGTAATTCTATGTTACCTCATATTGCAAAAAATTTCCTATGGGCTAATACTGCTAAGGAGATTTGGGATGGAGTGACTGAAACCTAATCTCAGAAGCAAAATGAAGCCAGAGCCTATCATTTAAGAAATTAGGTGATAAGTATGAA